AGAGAAAATATAACTGGATAAAAAAATCGGATTAATTTTCTGTTGATGCAATCGTTACCATAGTATTAATTGCATGTTAATTGGTTTTTGAATCATCTGTCAAATAATTGTGTCACCAAAATTCACAAATTCGATCATTTTAGCTTATTAAAAGTGTAGGTATTTTTAAATAAAATTAAAAATATTTTAAACATGCCGCGATTTAGAACAATCAAAGATGAAATTAATAGCGAAATGGAAAATTCAATTCCTGAGAACACAAAGAGAGACTTCTCTTTCTGTAGAGTCAAATTCAAAGGGGCAAAATGTTTATTCTAATTGTACTTTCAATAACTGTTCATTTTAAAAAGTATTTCCATATTTTATTTTGATTATGCATTCGTGGAATTGCCGTACTAAATACCATTCGAGCTCAGATTTTGAGCAGGATATTTTTTTGCTTGCTCTCTCATACTTACTTTCATGCAATTTATCTCGATCTGTTCCACAAAATCACTCGAGCTGCGCTCTCGTGATTTTGTGGGAACAGCTCTCGTTAAATTTCCTGAAGTAAGTATTCGAGACCAAGCCAAAAAATATCCGGCTAAATCTGAGCTCTTATGTTATTACCTACGACAATAAATAAATAGGGAAGTTTTCGAAAAAACGCTCGGACACGTCGATTTTGTTTCGGAAATATTGACAGTTGAAAATTGACTTTTTTGCAACTTTGACAGGCTGTAAAACCTAAACGGTTAATTTCACAGCAAAACCGATTTTACATTTTTTTGGTAGCTTTTCATAAGCTATCATTTGACACCAACTTGAAATTTAACCGGAGATTAATTTTAACCTGAATTTTTAATCATAGATTGAATTTAAAGTTGATGTCAGATGATCGTTTATGAAAAACTAAGATAAGAATGTATGATCGTTGTTGCTGTAAAATCAACCGTTAAGGTTTCACAGTCAGTCAAAAATGCAAAAAAGTCAATTTTCTACAGTCAATATTTCCAAAACCCTTGAAGATAAGTATAGGTAATTGTACATGAAATATGTCTAGAATTTTCGGCAGAATCCAGAAATGTCATAATATACAGAGGGTTCTATTTAAAAAAGTAAAGTTGATAACTGTACAGCTGTTCTGGGAATACCCTGTATTGGTGTAAGAAAATCTTAAGTAAAAAAACAAAATCGATGTGTCCGAGCGTTTTTTTGGAAAGGCTCCCATTTATTTATTATCAAATTTATTCCATTTGGCTGATACACACTGTATATTCTCAAAGTTTGGTCTAATACAGTGTGATTATTTAAGTGTGCAACATATGGGATTTTTTTTAGTAATAGGGAACTTGCAAGTGAAATAAAATTTTACAAATTTGTTTTGAATCGATAGTTCATACAGCACAATATTTATATGACAAGTTTTAATTTAATTGATACCGCCCTTGTTACACAAAAAATAACACTAAGGACCCCGCACACTTTTTATGGGATTTCTGACCGCGGTCAAATTTAACCAAATTTTAGTATGTTATAGATCTCACCTTTCTGATCAATAACTACCCTGGGCACAACTTAATCCTATGACTAGTTTGTGAGATACCATGTAGTTTAATGTCCAAGAAATGCACACATTTTATATGCATTTACCTATATCTACCTGTCACCTGAGCGTGAGGATACCTGTCCATCCTGGTATTATTGGGTGACAGGTAGATCTAAATGCATAGAAAATGTGTGCATTTCTGGGACATTAAACTACCTGTATCTCAAAAACTAGTCATAGGATTGAGTTGTGCCCATGACAGTTATTGATCAGAAAGGCGAGATCTATAACATACTAAAATTTGGTTAAATTTGACCGCGGTCAGAAATCCCATAAGAAGTGTGCGGGGTCCATTTGAAATAAAAAAATTTCCCGCCAAAACACTGCTTCTATGATGGCTACCTTTTTTGACGTCACGATTTTGTAAACAAAACTGTCAATAGGGAACTTGCAAATGAAATAAAATTTACGAAAGCAGTCCTTTACAATATTCTTCATCCATTGCGACAATTTTCACAAAAAGCAAACTTTAACACAGTTGAATAACACAAAAATAGCACTGCCTTAGCAGGAGTTTTGAAAAGTAAAACCAAGAGCAGTGTGCTCAGTATCAGTTTTATAGTTAACTGCCCGACTTTTATATTTATTTATAAACAACATTTCAAGAATTTTTCGCTTTCTCCAGTTTTCCTCTCTTATAGTTGGGGAGCTGGCGTCAAAAACATGCAAGAGTTTTCTCAAAGCTGATATTTTCAAAATAGGTCGTACTTTAGTGTTAGAAGGCTAGTGTATAGTCAGCACTCACAGTTCCGGGACTGCTGGCCCTGGGACGCGGGCAAAGTTGTAATTTTAAGAAGCATCTAAACTGTTTTTTAAAAGTTCAAAATTTATGGAAATTTTGCACATTATCTGTTTGAAGGTCACAGATAACGTATGTAAATCGTCAGACTTCTAGTTCGTTGCAAAAAGGGGGTTAGACGTTCTCAAAGTTTTTATTTTATGGCATTTTCTTCAGAGATATTTGTCAAATACCTGCAAAAATATATTTTGACAGGACACCGAAGAAAATGTCATAAAATAAAAACTTTGAGGGCGTCTGACAACCTTTTCGCAGCGACCTAGACGTCTGAGGATTTACACACGTTATCTGTGACTTTCAAACAGATAATGTGCAAAATTTCTATAAATTTTGAGCTTTGGAAAAACAGTTTAGATGCTTCTTAAAATTACAACTTTGCCCGCGTCCCAGGGCCAGCTGTCCCGGAACTGTGAGTGCTGACTGTACACTAGCTTTTTGTGACTAAAGTACGACCTATTTTGAAAATATCAGCCTTGAGAAAACTCTTGCATGTTTTTGACGCCACCTGGCCACCTCCTGGACTATTATACACACTGACGGATTGTTGACATCAAAATGATGGTCACTCTCAAAATGATGGCGATGCCGTTTTTTCTTTTTTATCAATGCTAATAATTCGAATATCATATTGGTGTTGATATAATCTTTTTGAGAGCTTTTGCTTAGTATCCCCTATGTACAGTTTATCACAATGAATACAATCAATCCTATAAACTAAGTTAGAACTATCACAGATAGCGGTTTTGTCTTTGGTTTTAGTAAATAAGTCACCTTCTTTCTTGTTTGTATAAGGAACTACCCTAATGTTATTTTGTGTTTGTAAGATTTTTGATAACTTAGTGCTTAAGCCCGGAATCAATGGAATTTTGAAAAACTTAACATTAGAATTTATTCTGTAGCTTGAGGGCGCACTTGTTGATTTTGTCTTGGATTTTGAAGTGACCAAAAATGGACGTTATGTTGAATAAACAGTCCATTTGTTAAAGAATTGCATTTGTCACTACCCTGTATAGGGCGTCCTGTTGAAAATAAACGAATATCTTCAGGCCAAATAGAAAAAAACTGAGTACTTCACTGGATTCTGCTTAAAAAATGCTTCAAGAAAGTTTTTACAAAAATCAATTATTTTCATAAACAATAAAGTTATGGAGTTATGAAGCTTGTATAGTATTACTCAATGACCCAGTATTCACACTAATTTTGAGTCATTGATGATTAAATAATAATTTCATTTAAAATTGGGGTTAAAGAATTACTTTTGAAGGGCCTGCTAGAGTCAAATCTCTGGCCTGTAGGCATTGCTGTCGAAGAGTTTCATCCTCATAGTATGGGGGCAAAACCCTCCATAGCAAATTTTCAGAGGGGAGAAAAAGGGGACCAGTCTCATAAGATTGTGCTACCTTTCTGTACCAAAATGTAAGAGGCCTAAAAACCAAACTCAAAGATGCTTTTTGTGCTGCTCGCGTCGAGTCTTTCTCAGTGATTGCACTTACGGAAACCTGGCAAAACTGTTGCATCTGTGATGCTGAATTTCTTGACTGACGTTACACGGTTTATTGTTATGATAGGAGCAGTCTAAATAGTGCTAAAAGCCGTGGAGGTGGGGTGTTTCTGACAGTAAATAATTGCTTTAAATCTCATCGTCTGTCAATTGGTGAAGCATCCGTGGGTGTCTTGGTCTTTTGTATTGGCTGTGTCTACATTCCACCTACCATGGACGTTTCGTATTATGACACCAACTTGAAATCAGTTGCGAGTGCCTGTGAAATGTTTGATGAAAATGTCTGAAAATGTCTTCTGGAACTTTGTTCATTCACAATCCAATCAAGGTACTATTCCTAAGGAAATGTTTCTGGCGACAGAAATAGCGTTTAACGGTGTTTTCACATAGCTTATCTTTTTGGTGTTTATTTTTTCTCTGTCTATAGCCCCCAGAGAAATTCCAACACCAGAACTTTTGCTGATTGATTTGAGAATTTTTCAAGCATTGACCCAACCGATATTGAGAAGGCTTTAAAGCAAGTGAACATCAACAAGTCTGCAGGACCTGATGGTTTTCCTAACAAAGTACTAAAATCTTGTTCTAACACTTTGTATCTCCCTCTATTTAATATTTTAAAAAAATCCCTCAGTTCTGGCATTTTTCCAGAAATGTGGAAGCTCTCTTATGTTTGTCCTATTCACAAGTCAGGCAGCAAGAATGGTGTAACAAACTATAGACCTATCAGCATCCTGTCTGCAATTCCTAAATAATTTGAGCAGTGCCTTGAAAATATTCTTTCAAAAATATTTCATCAGATTGTGATCAGTCAATAGCATGGGTTTAGAGCTTGTAGATCTGTTGATACGAACCTGTTTCTCTTCACAAAATGTAAATAAGTTCTATGAGGGTCTTGACTTTTTCAGTTTATGTCAGGATAAATTCAAGCAAGGGCTAAGAGAAATTGTGTTAGGTTAGATTTTTAGATTTAAACTTTGTACCACTTCAAATGTATGTATTTTTTTATACGTAAATAAATAAATGAATTAAGATGGGTAGATAAATTCGCCCCATAACTATTATTCTGTGTAAACCGAGTATAGTAAAATTAATTGTATTATATTTTGTTCCAGGTCTTAGTTTTCAAATTGCCGAAGGAGGTTTCCTAGACATCGATGTCCGTATCCTCGGACCTGATGCAAAAGTGATCTATGAAGAAGAACGTCAAACATCAGGCAAATACTCTTTTGCCGCTCATTTTCCCGGAATCTATACATTTTGTTTCTCAAACAAAATGTCTACGATGACTCCTAAAGTTGTTATGTTTGATGTCGCCATAGGCGAACCCCCGAAGCAAGAAGCAGCAGAAGATGGACAATCAGCTAATAAAATTGAAGAAATGATTAGGGAGTTGTCAGCTTCCTTGTTGGCTGTTAAACAGGAGCAAGAATATATGCAAATAAGAGACAGAATTCATCGTAGTATTAACGAAAGCACTAATTCTAGAGTGGTAGCATGGTCATTTTTTGAAGCTGTTATATTGTTTTCCATGACGATTGCTCAAGTGTTTTATTTGAAGAGATTCTTTGAAGTAAGAAGAGTGGTTTAGAATAATGGGTTATATAAAGATGGACTGTGTTTTGTGATACTTAACAATCTATTTATAAATTCTCTATAACTTTTATTGATGTACGTTTAATAAAAGTTATAGAAATATCCTGTTTTTTGTAATATTAAATGTCTCAAATTATTGTTCGTTTTCTTTTTGTGAATAAAGAATTTTTGATTTTTTACAATGCAGGTATATAATAAACTTAAACTGTTTTTACTTCCCTCCATAGTAAGGGAAGTATTGTATTTACTTACCGACATTGCCAATGTAAGGGTTTCCGTTCGCAGGCATAGATAGAGGGTGTCGATTTTTCCTTAGATTCTCCTGAGACTGAAAATCCTGGTGATGAAAATGTTTAGTTGACAGTCTCGGATCAAACCAATCAGCGTTTACTCTTAATGCTTATCAAATAAATCAATAACCTATTCAAATTCAAGATCCTCCTTGCAAATTATACAGGAAATCATGCTTCTTTAAAGACCTTCTATAGCAAAAGGATATTTTTCAAATTATATAATAAATTCGCAAAATAAATTAACAACTTGTATGGGAACAAGAAAGGCACCCTGGGAAAAGTTGAAGTGTGCTGGATTCAGGTTAGATACAAAAATTGTAATTAGTTCAATGTTACAGGATCCAGGGCAACCTTGTTATTCAACATATCTAACCCTCAAATATCACGTAACGTAAAGATAGTTGACGGTTAACTATCTCTAACAAGTTTTCTCCTATTATCCACTGATGTGCATAATATTTAAACTAAACCAACACCGATTGGAGCAAAATCTTTCGAACATTTATACCTATATTGATACTTACATGATAAATAAAGAAAAGTTTTAAACTATTATAGATAGCTTTTTAAAATTCGGTCAAGGTCAAGCTATACCGATGACAACTAAAACAGCCGTGGAAATTGCATCACAACTTTTAAAGTACTTTAGTAATCACGGAGTACCTCAAAGAATTACCTCGGATAACGAAGCAGAATTTAAGAATGCAATAATTACTAATTTATGTTCATTGTATAAAATTGAATTTCACTATACAACTCCGAGAAATCCAACTTCAAACAGTCCTATCGAAAGATTCCATTCGACGTAGCATGAAAGCATGAGAAGTCTACAGCTTATAAACAAAAATAATTCGATGATTGAATTAATGACAATTGCTATTTTAAACTATAATAATAGTATTTATAGCACAATGGAATATACACCCTTTCAAATAATAGAAGATTTAAATTAGGCTATGCCAATAGAGCAATCACTAAACAAATTATTAACTGATTACATAAATAATTTAGCTGATTTCTTAACTAATTTAAATAAGGAAATTCAAGAACCTATTTTGGAAAAACCCATATTTATTGAACAATTTAATAGGGACAAAATAAGCCCACGATATGATAATAAAATACCAAATACCATTACATTTTAGTAAGCAAAATGTGAAACGGTAATATTATATTTCAGGTGCACAAGAATGGAAGCTACAGTCTTTATTCTAATGGGGATAATAAACGCCTACGTATTAACTGCGATGGAGAATCGCATACTTGCTACCCTTTCCCTAGGAACCACCTATGTGACTATACAGCACATTACAGCCTATTATCACATTAAATAATGTAATTTACAAAGTACATCGCATGAGAGGTTTAACATCCCCAATTTTATGTAACTTTACAACACTGGTATGTGTTATAGAAAATGGCCAAGCATAATCAACTCGAACATGTTGAAATGGAAAGGATTGTGAAACTCGAGATTGTGGTAGATTTCCCAGTAACTTGAGGCTTTGAAGGTTTGAATTTAAAACAAACTATACACTCCCTCACAACACGTTTAGCCAAACTTTTGCCTGATATTGGCCAAAAAGTTTGTCTAACTTGAGATAGCAACAACTGGGGACCACCGTGAAGTATAATTCAACATGTTCATATTTGAATATTAAATACATATGGTGTTTACTTGACAAAACCATAGGATGTTTTTTGCCATAAGAAAAAGCAGAGTGCTTAAGCCTATTCCCAACTCTAATAATTAAGTCCTCGTCTAGGAACGGAGTTAGACTCAAAAGTTTACTCTTTGGATTAACCGATGAAAATTCTAAACGATCTTTGATTTCGTCTTTAAATGTCTCTCTTTGGGACAGCTTAACGGGAACATTAATGGAAAGATTTAGCTCATCAAGAATAAGATGCCCTGATTTTTGCGTATCACTGGATGTCTTACAATTTTGAATAAACCTTAAACAGTATGCTAAAACTCTTTTGATACGTTTAAACGATGAAAACTTATCAAAAGGAAATAAAGATTCTCGAACTAGAACATAGCTTTGAATATGTTTTCTGGTTTCTGGCAATTCATGAAATCAAACTGGATTCGCGGTAGAGATATCCATAGGCCAAATTTCCAAAGATTCATATGATGGCCTCTCGAACCATAATTCTTAGTTCCTTAAATATTGAACTGACACACCTCTGGATAAAATATCAGCAGGGTTCGAATTGGTTGGTACATATCTCCAATGTGAACTCTAAGTAATAGTTTGGATTTCGGCCACGCGATTTCTAACGAACACTTGCAGGTAATGGGGTGATGATCGAATCCATGCAAGGGCTACAGTTGAATCGGACCATAAAAAATATTCATCGATTTGGAATGTTATTGAATTTGAAACCTTTCTAAACAACCGGGCTAGTAACAGAGCTGCTGACAGTTTCAATCGAGACATACTCAAAGACTTCAGTGGAGAAAAGGGCCGTAGCCAGGGGGGGGGGCATTGGGGGGCAATGCCCTATCTTTTAAATGATGATGCCCTACCTTTAAAAATCAACATACATTAAGGTTTCTTTAGAAAATTTAAGAGTAGATGATACCTGAAGTAGATAGGCCTGAAATCGAGTAGCGAGGATGAATGTTTCCGAAAATGCCTAAATCTAATGAACAATGGTTGACGTTTGCACAGAGGAAGTTTTTTTTTGTTTTGAAAGAGTGCGAATGGCCAAGGCGACCGGCGCGAAAATCCGCGCCATTTTGTTTACTTGTCAAAGATGTTATTTATTTGCAAGGTTGTTTGATGGAGGCGAGAGAGGTAGGATGCCTAGGCTGATATTTATAGAGATATTTTCTCTATCTCTATCGACGTCCCCTCTCTATTGATTTCGACAAGACAGAAGAAAAAGAAGACAGCACGTGCCATAGCGATGGGGATAATGATCTCTATGCTCTATGCGTACAGAGTTCCAGCCCTGGTAACTTTATGACGTCATCTGGGGTGCCTCAACATAATGCAAATCTCTTTAAGGTGTCCCAGATCGGATGCGTTATCAAGTGACCCATTACCTTACTTTACCATACATTATACATACCTTGATGCGTCATCAAGTTACCCATTACCATACAGTACCTGAACCCTGATTTATTGAAAAATTTTGTTTACCTATAAAAAATTTAGGGGGGGTGGGGGGGGGGCAAGTAGTGTATGCCCTATGTCGAACTTGTCATGCCCTATCTTAAATTTGACTCTAGCTACGGCCCTGGTGGAGAAACCCTAGTTTTAGAAGTTAACAGATTGACACGAACAATTTGATCTGAATCAATAACTTGTACAAACATATATGCACCGAAAGCCACTTCAGACGCATCCGAATATCCATGTAATTGTATTGAAACTGCACTCTTGGAAAATACGTGTCTCTGTATTTTAAAAGAGTTTAACTCCGACAAATCAGACCTTAGCTTCAAATAACTTTGACAAACATCATTGGGAACTTCTTGATCCCAGGACAATTTTCGTGACCATAAAGCCTGCAATAAAATTTTGGATTTAACAAGACCAAGAGGATCAAAGATTCGTGCTACCTCTAACAAAATCACTCGTTTTGTTACCTTTTTAATAGTCACAGGTAAATTAACTTTAAACGATAGACTATCTTCTTCGCAACACCGTACCATTCCCAGAGTTTTACAAGCTTCTGGGGGACTAAAATGAAGATCCTGCAGCTGTGATTCAGACGTCGTAATATTTTTTAAGACTTCATAACTATTTGATTTCCATTTTCTAAGTTCGAAACTGCTTGATCTTAATATTGACGAAACTTCATGACAAAGCTGAACTGCTTCACTTACTGTCTCCGCACCTGATAAAAAATCATCGACATAAAAATCTTGTTCAATCACCCTTGAAGCTTTAGGAAATTGAACTTTATTTTCAACTGACAATTGCTTCATACATCTTGTTGCAAGAAATGGCGCACTTGCTGTCCCATACGTAACTGTGTTCAATGCGAACGTTTCAAGAACACTTTCAGGGTTTGATCGCTAGAATATCAATTGCTGGGGTCGGTACTGTTTTTCTACTAAAATCTTACAGATGTCACCAGATATTACGATGGAATGTTGTCGAAATTTGAGGATGGAATGGAGGTCATCCTGAACTGTTGGACCAACCATCTGGATTGAATTGTAAGGTTTACCAGACGACGACTTGGCTGAACAATTAAAAACCACCCGTAACTTAGTCGTGATACTATCTTCACGTATGATCCCATGGTGTGGAGAAAAACACGTTATCTCATTATCTCCTGGATTATAAACTGACATATGACCAAGGTTCTGGCATTCCTGCATAAATTCTGAATACATTTGTTTTAACCTAGGATTGTTTATGAATCTGCGTTCCAAATCAAGATATTGCTTTTTTGCTAACTGCTTAGAGTCACCCAAAGAACTTGAAGGCTCTTTGAGAGGAACTGAAGCAATAAACCTTCCTTCCGAATCACGCCGATGAGTTTCCAAAAAATGTTGCTCAGCTAAATTCTTCTCGTTTGCGAGCTCGTTCGACTGCGAAGGGCATAAGGAGACCTCCTCGATCTCCTAGAACTTCGTCAACTGGTTCTGAATATCTGAAGTCCTGTTAAAATGACATGAAGTTACAGCACCTTTTGGACAGTTTTTCCAGAAATCACCCATGCTAACCTCGTTTTTTGTAATACTGGTTTGTTTTTCCCTAACTGTACAATATTGTCACAGCCAGCTTGTATTGTTACATAATATATCCCAGAAATATTCGGCGCCCAACAAAAAGATCAACCTTTTGTGGTTCATATAAAAACAAGGATCGGCTAATGTGATATAATCTTGAACTTTGATAATAGAGGGATCAAAATAAATTCCTGGAAGATTATACCAGTGATTTC